CTTCATCTTGGATAGCCTGCATGATGCTGGCTGAGCCTATCGTGAATGTTTCCTCTGCACCACTCAAAAACTAAGCCGTCCTGCGGCATTTTGCACCATTTTCTAGACCACCCACTCAGACAAGGATACACAAACCACATGTGCTAGGAATGTCTGCCCTGCACTGAAAGCAGTATCAGCATTACAACCATATTATTCCTTGCAGCCAGGCTTTTAATAGAACTTACTTATATTTTCAATACCTTTGATTCTCTCATGGTTTCTATGTAGTCACTTCACTGGCCATTAGATGCTTAAGGATTTAAAAGGGAAACATAATCAGCATTATCAGAGTAGAAATATTTTTAGCAAATACTTCCTTTTCTTTTTTCCCTCCCCTAAAGAGATAGGTTTTATTTCTAGGTCTTACTTAAAACATGTAACTGACATCTTCACAAACCCACTATTTCCTCAATAGGACTCAGACCTTGCATTCTGTCTCCCTGTGAGCAATGATAAAAGGTAATAATTTATTTCTTACTGTGAAGGGTAAAGTTTACTAACAGAAAACTCAGCTTTACAGCATCAGTTTTCTGAAGAAACATACAAAATTCATAACCCATTTGATGGAAGATTCAGGAAACAGTTATTTCCAGTCAGAATTATACTGAATGATGATAAAAATACATCCCCTGCTGCATTCACAGGCCTACATTTGACTTTGCTCAAACTTCCAGACTGGAAAAATTAAAAGTAAATGAAAAATGCAAGATTATCACTGTGCAGTACAATCAATCTGGCTGAGATAAAACATAGAATGTAAGTCAGATGCAACACAAACAAAATGTGAAACAGACATTAGCAACTCAAACAATAAAACAGCTTAGAGTTTTGTATGAAGCTGCAATCTCAATCTCCCTCTCTCTCTAGTCAGCAACAACTGCACCAGATTTTACAGTAGCGAACAAAAGCAGCTGTATTACAACATCTTTTCTTCACACTTTTTTTCTGTCATTCTTCCCCCACAGGCTTTGTTTTCACTGTGGTAATTCTTCTATTTGCTGTCTAGTCAGTGGCACTTCTTGCTGCTCAGTCATATGCAAGGCCCTTACATGATTGTGTTTTGATGTTAGTTTATCTGCCCAGACACAGAGCCAGCCTTGTAAATGCCATTGGTTTAGCAGCATTAATGTCCTGATTAACTCCCAAGCATGCACAAATGCACTGCAGATATATGTGTTTTAGTCCTTGTCATCTGTTGGTAACCCTTTTATGCCCAGAAGTAAAGCTTCTTCCAGTAGTGTACAGAGTAGCTTCCTGGTGTACACTACATTCCACTGTACACTGTCTAACAATTAAGAAAACCATTGAGGCCCACAGAAACACAGCCTCACACCTGTTAAACTTTGGAACATGTCTTGTACTGCTTATTTTTGCAGTTTCTGCTAGCTCCTACTGTGGCTGAAAATCTGATAAAATTTTCATCTTAATGCTCAATTTCTGCAAATCATGGACTAATGAGCAAACACAAAACAGACTCTATAGACTGAAACAAGAGTTTGCTAAAAGATAGTTTGTCATTAAACTACAAGTGGTAATAGATGGGATATGGTGTGTATGAACAAAGACGGTATGAGGTGAATCCTACCATCAGAGCAATGTCTGGAGTAGGATAATGCATACAACAACTGAATGGGGCAATTTTCACTTCAAACAATTCTACAGTTTTCCCATCAATTTTGCAAACTAAGTAAAGAGTCTTGAAATCAACAGATCATTCAAAAGGCCCAAAAGACTGGTACAGTTTCTAAGAAAGGAAGATGTTACCAAGTAAGGACCAAGGACTCAAAGCAGATTGTGAAAGTACTTTATTTCACTGTGAGAATGGGAAAGAAAAACAATGGGCCAGGCAAAACCCAAGAACTTGTGATTTCCTTCCCAGAGACTAAAAGAAACTTCAGTAGAAATATACTGGGCTCTCCAAATGCATTGTACTCTATGTACTATGTTTCTGAGTTGAAAGCACAGACTTTTCCTAAAAAGACCAAACCAATGAAGAGAAAGAAATGATCAACTGCTTCCTACAGTCCAAAGGCTAAAGACTGAGCATGGGTTTACTTTTACCTTGGAAGACTCTCTTCACTTCAGTGAATACCTCTTCCTCCTTTCTTGCTCTTTCTCTTTAGCATGGACTAAGATGGCCTTCAAATCTAAACAATATTGAAATTTTTGTAAAGCCTCTCAGCAGATTCAGATTTCTAAAAAATACCAAAAATTAAACCTTGCCAACCAATTGGACATTCACTTTCTGATGTATAAAGTTACTTGTGAGATGAAAACTGTCTTTGCTACTGGATACAACTACTGCTCTAGTAACAGTGACTTACTTATGCTGAAAATTACTTTAGATATTGGAAGTTACTGCTAACCTCTACCTGGTCACTGCAATGAGTTAATCTAAATTCTCTCATATAACTGTTTTAAATAGCTTGATGTTAAGTAAAACTCCAAAATGTTTGCCAAAACACTTTAACCCATCCCAAAGATCAGTGCTCTTAGACATTAAAGTCTGGAAGGTATCTTCTATTTTTTTCTTTATGAGAAATATGAATGTCAGAAATTAAGTGAACATGGATTTATTTTGTTTCTGTATACATAATTAGATGAAAACAGTAAACTTTTAAATTTAGATCAAAACTTCGTAGCTCTATTTCTATCAGAATTTTGTGAAAAAGTCAGTACACAGATAGACACCTGCAGTCTATTTTATTCTCTCCCAATTAATTAGAAAACTTAAGAGTTTAAGTACAATCCACAGTTTGCACGAAATTCAGCACTGATTTGATACTGTAATTGCTGTCTTCTCCCTTTTATGCCTATTCTCCCAGTTTCTCTTTTCTTCCACCCCTGTTCGCAGTGTATAATAAAGCTTATCTGATATTTAAAGGATAAAATGATTCATTTCACCATTTCTAAAAAAACAGTGCAATAGTCGTACTAGAAGTATCCCCTTCTGAAACTCAATGAGTCTTTACCACAAGACTTAGTTAGAAAAGTCAAAATGGACAAATTTCTATATACATCTGGTATAACTAAAAGACAGGAAAGTTGAACACACATTGGTAGACCAAAGATTTTTAAGGTTGCTTTTAGATTTCCAAACATTTTCATATAAAACAATCAATAAAAATTGAAGTTTATCCCCTTCACATGCACCCCTATTCCCTTCCCCATTATCACCGGCCTTCTGTCAATAGTAATGTTAACATTATACTCCCATTCCTTCACCCCTCCCCAATTGCACATTAAGACATGGACTTAAAAGAACAACATAACGTTTCAAGTATGCTTCATGCCAATCATCAATAAGAGTCATAACATTACTGAAAAAGTACACTTATTCTTTGGAAGCCTAAGAAGGACTTCCTGCGGAGTGTGATCAAACAACATCTTAAATAAGAAAAAAGCCCCCCAGCCAATACATATCGTGCCCTTTCAAAAAGAGTAAAGTGTAAAATTTTCTTTGGACTTAAAGAAACAGTATTAAGATTTACTATCTGAATAAGAAATAACCCCAATAGTTTTTCAGTGCTGCACAAACTGTGCACATGAAACAGTAAGTCATAAAGCTACTACTGTTCAGCTCTACACATAGAGACTACATGTGGCATATAAGCATACACGACATACTGGCCTGTCCAGTAACAAGATACATTTTTTAGGCTGGTAAACTTGAATAAACCTTTGCATCCAGAAGTATTTTTTAATTCTTTCCTCTTTTCTTTTAGGAATTTGCATTTCTAATAGAATGGTGATGATTCCATCAAGAAACCATCAGCAATATGAGAGCATGAAGCATTGATGTGAAACTGAGTACATATCCTCTCATTTGATCACGCATGAACAAAGATCCTGATTTTAAGAAATAATAGATGCTATGAAAGAATACTCATTTTTATAGACAAGAAGTTCTTCTGGAAACACAAGCAAGTTATTGAACAGATACCAAAATCTGGGAAGTGTAAAAAGCATATATGCGCGCGCGTGTGTATATATATACACATATATATATACAGGTGCAGTATATATGTATATATAAACACACACATACAGACAATATCATAGATGTATTTATTCCAACATGTAACTGTATAACAACATATTTATTTTAAAATAAAAGGTTTTAATTTAGCAGTTTTAGAAACCAAACAAAACCAGAAAAAAATCCCCAAAACAAACTAAGTAGACCATATAATATATGGGCAAACAAAAATGTTACGCAAAGAGTTTTATGGTAGAAGTGAGTCACGCACTGGCAGCAGAAGAGTGTTGAAATTCATAGTAATAAATAGCTCCAAATTAAGAATTTTCTACAACATCTTCTTTAAGGACAGGACCAGTATATTCTCTTATGACGATCCTGCAGAACACCTTCACTCTAATATATATCTAATTTTGTAACATTACAACAGATACAAGAATGTAGACTGCAAAAGTTGCCAGATTCATGACAGTATACATAACATTTTTTGTTAAAAATCCTATTGGTTTATTCACTGAGGCTAGACGGCAAGTCATATGATACTATTTGGTGCATTTTTTTACCATGGTCAAGATTAATAAGTGGACAGAATGAAGGAGCTGTGGTCCAACTTGCTCTGGTCCAACTCACTGTGGCAGACAGGAAACGAAATATACAACCACTGTTTGGTCACTAAGTTTGTATCTTGTTTCCTGGAACTGCAGAGGTGGAATCAAGACCTGTAGTGTTTTAATTGATAGTGAAAGATAGCCAGAAGTGGCATTTTAACATGAATAAGGTTACTAGGCTTGTGAAAGTACTGCATCAAAAGAGCACACATAGGATCTCACTACTTGCAACATCTGGTAGCGTCACTCAATGACTCATGGACTTTAGGATACATGTATGCAGTAATAAATAGATCAGTTATGTAATAAGGCAGTGTGTTGAACATGCATTCATCTTGTGGACTTGAACACCACAGAGAGAGATACATGATATCATACACATTCATTAAGAACAAGTATTTTTGTTTGTTTTTCTGTGTTTGTTTTTCAAGGCTATCCAGGTAAACTCTTCCAGAGCATTTTCTTCTTGAGAAAGAGTGGTCCTCTAAGTCTGGTCACTTTTCCTCTCCCTTATCAAGAGATGATGACTGTCTTTAAGGAAAAATAAAAGCTGCAGAGGATTGCCTAGTTTTTTTTCCCCTCTGTTTTGGTTGCATCATTCTACATATGTCATTTAAAGAGCAGTATTTGATGCAGCCAGATGCTGAATCCTCAGGAGGTTCCAGACATTTCCAGGTAACTCTGTAGTTTACGGACTGTGGTTTTGTCCAGTGAACAAAGATCAAAGTCAAAGGTTGTATTTGTGATGTGAAAATGTCCAGTTTCTTCAATAAGATTTACTATCTGAAACAAAAGAAAAGATGCAGTTGAAAATTCCAGTCTTACATGCCTACTGAACATATTAACATGCCACCAAGTATCATGAAAGGCCTCAAACGAGCCCAATTGCCCCAATACTTGCACATTAAACCACTAACCCTTCCTTTCTAACACGCACTATTGTCCAAACTACAGTATCTCAATTGGTCGGGTTTTTTTTTAAATCATCATCGACCATAATGTCAAACATTTACTGTGTGCATAGCTGCTAAGCAGGTTACATTAGGAAATAATTGGCATGAGCCTTTCTGCAAGCAAGGGAAAGAAATAAATTCTTCCAGAGTCTACTCCATATCAAACAAAAAATACATCTAAGAGCTCTCACATGAACTGTTAGTTCATGTACTAGCAGTTATTTCTTGAGTAACAGACTTAAATGTAATTTTTTAGCTAGATCAATCCTGAAAAGACTCCTAGCAATGGCATAACTTCACTTCTTCTTGTGACTATTTAATCTATAATCATAAGTTTCATTAGAACAGGAAACAGAAGAGCTGTTTGGAGTTCTTGAAAAGAATGGAGACTAAAACATCTCTCCTATAAGCAAAGGCTCACAGAGCTGCGACTCTTCAGTCTGGAGAAGAGAAGGCTCAGAGCAGATTTTGTCAGTGTGTACAAATACCTAAAGGGAGAGTGTAAAGAATACAGAGCCAGGTTCCTTCCAGTGGTACACAGTGACAGGACCTGGGCCAGTGGACACCAACTGAAGCACAGGAGGTTCCTTCTGAACAGGTGACACCTTTTTCCTGTGAGGGTGACCAAGCACTGGTACAGGTTGTCTAGGGCAGTTGTGGGGTCTCCATCCTTGGAGATATTCCAAAGTCATATGACATAGTCCTGGGTAGCTGGCTCTACATGTCCCTGTGACCTCCAGAGATCCCTTCTAACCTCAACCATTCTATGATTCTGTGAAATCCACAGTACCTATCTAACTTGTGTCTTTCTCTAGTAACATTTTTAGTCTCTGAATTGTAGTCTACATTTTTAAAGAATCATCATACTCATACTGAATTGCTGTAAAAAGTAACTCCAGATATGTTAAGCTCTAGGATGTCCACCTACCTAGGAAAAAAACAATAAGCATCTTGAAAAGCCAAAGCATTATTTGTCAGAGAGGACTATCACAGTGCCAACACACTACAGCTATGAATGAGCCCAAGAGAGCAAATCAAAAGGCAGCCCATCCTGAAGTGGGCCTCTGGGTAGTGTCATGGACTAACACAACATTGCTGCTCTTCTCAGTCTTTCCGACCATCCCTTGTGCAGTGTTCAGGTTGGACTCAATGTCCTGTTTGAAACCTTCAACTTGAAACCCATTTAGTTCTTGGGCTTCCACATATACCTCCACCGAAACACTACTACATTCCTTAATTGTTTTGAGCTTTGTTACTGTGACAGTAATTCCTTTTCCACAGCTGGAGGAGATACAGATGTATGCACGTTATGTCTTACAGAGTATACCTTAAAACGACAAATCTGGTAGGGTTACACTAACTTGACAAAGAACAATGAATTTAAACTAAATATTCTGTAATTTTCCATTCTGCATTTCATTATATAAATAGGTATTTTTTCTTCTCAGAGCACAAAAGTAAAGACTATGTTGATGATAAATAAAATAACTTCATGTGTATTGTCAGGCATGGAATGACCTGGCCCAGGATAGATTAAACAGAACGGAAATAAGACAAACTAATAAAAGGAAAATGCCTATTACAGTAAAAATCTCCCTTTTCAACCACCTCCTATTTTTCCAAGTTGGAAGAATAAAAATAAAATCTGTTTAATTTGGTTTGCAGCTGTCCAAAATTCTGCGTTTATTAACACTCCATTTAAATCTGTGCCTCTTGTTTGCAATTTTTTTCCATATGGGAATTTTTAATCTAAAATGACCAGCTTTATTTGTCCACTTATTGATTCCCAGATTCTTGTAACACTTTTCCACCTCCTACTGTTCTGCAATTGATGTCAGAGAAAAAAAAAATCAAATGAGACAGAATTGACTGTTAGCAGAAGAAAACTTTGATATGTATTGTCATTTTCATTTCTGGCACTCTCTTGAGCCTCATCTAAGAGGGAAGCTAAGGTAAGGAGTCAATCCAACCTCCTTTCGTAAAATTTGGAATCTAATCTCAGGCTTGGTCTCTGAATATCAACTGTGTGACAAATAAATGGCTGCACAAGAAGTCTACAGAAACTGAGGCCAGGAAGATTTAGCTATTTTGAATAATTCTAACACTTCCTTGTGTTACTGTGGAAGAACACCACCCCTCACAACCCCCACTGCAATATACCTGATTTTAGAAATATAGATTACACAAAAGTGCTAGCATATGTATTTTTAAGCTGCACTGCATATTTTAAGAAATGGATAAGGACTTTTACTGATTAAGTTCTGCTTTGGGCTTTTAAGCTCTAGGTCAAGGGAAATATAAACATTTTAAACATATCCCTCATTCCAGCCCTCAAGAAATACAGTCACTATGTCTGGGCACCTGGTAAATTAGACCGAAAGGAACCCGAAAGGTTTTAATGGATGTACCAACATGTATCAAGATAAACCCAGAGTGCTCAATGAAAAACACTTGCCTGTGTGCCAGTCAATGAGGAATTCATGACTTACAGTATTAGCATACGCATCCTTGTGCTATTGAGAAATATTTCAAAAAGAATAAAAGGTTGAGACTAGTTGCTAGGAAGTCTGACAGTTCTAACATTAAAAACACAGCATTAAAATGTTTTATTTGGAGAGCTCAGGCTGCAAAGAACAAAAATATCTCATTTGTTACTGCTGTAGTAAGCTTTGCTTTTCTGCTGTAGATTACATCTCTGTTTACCTAATGTCTCTCCAGCTCAGTTTCATCATTATCCATCATAGTATAACTATTTATCAGCCTTTAAACAAGAAAATGAGTGTGTTTATATAAGGAAGCCAAAGTGCAACTAATGACATAGTCATTTTTCAATTTATGGAGAGGTTTAGGCCATGTGATAGTTTCCAGACCCCCAAGTTGCCCCTGGCAGAAAATTCTCAGAAGATAGTTGCCATCTGAAGTTAAGCACCTTGTGGACATAAGCAATGTAATTTTCAGCCATGCTGTGTACTCTCAATTTCTTCCTTATGTCTGTGCTGCTTAGTGCACAGGGTTCCAGATTTTTCACGAGCTGAAGATATGACTTCTGATGCTTTAAAATAAGAGGCAAAGTCTTACCAAAAATGTTGTTGCATTTCACAGGGTCACATTAACATTATCTGCACTGAAGTTGCAGTTAGGAACACAGCTTTAGTCAGTCAAATTTGAATATATTAGACATGCAGCATTAATATTTGATGGCAGACTCAATTATCCTATTAACTTAAAAATCACGAAGTTAAAAAAAAGCCTAGCCACTATAAATTCCAATGTCTCTTTACAGTGAAAGAGGTGGGAGAGATCTTTGTTTTTAAAATGTAACTTCAGACCAGTTTCTGTCTTGCCATGGTCCAACAGTCATATAGAAATTGCTCAGGTAATTTTCACAGGATTAATTCCTTGGTCAAATATTCTTTTTCAGGTCTTCTCCCTCTCAGGCAATTCTTATATATCTGTAAGTAGTATTTTATATCAGAATTATTTTGCTATAATTCTAGGCACTTGCAGCACAGTATCACATCTCTCCTTGCCTTCTCCCTTTCTCAGTTTCCTTTAACAAAGTGTCTCAAAGAAAAATGCCTCTCTTGGAAGAAAGCCACATTCTCAAACAGATCCATTTTTCTCATTTCCAATTTGGCTGCATTCCTGTGTGTTATCATGCCTATGGACTTAACAACTGAGATTGCAAAAAACAACAACAACAAAAAAAGCCCTTTTCATGTCCCACAGCGTAAGTTTCAAAAGCCTGTGCTTTTTACATTATCAATGCCTTCATTGTTCTTTTGCAAGTCCTTTCTCTAAAAATTCTTTCGAAGCCTGTGGGTAGCAGACTTTGATATGTGCAAAAGACAATTACCTGCCCTAACATAAACTAGAGAGATGACAACCACCATTCAGTAACACACAACTCCACCACCACCACCTTTAACACTCTTGCAGCTGTCTACAATTTTCTGTTGCATATTTTTGCACTTGATCCCTCTTCTTATGCAGTAACCACCATCCCTTTCTGCAGTTTTGCCCCTTGCTCTCCTGATCTTTGTACTTCCTATAGTCTCTCCTTGACCTTTATACTTCCTGTAGTCTCTATATACTTGTATTTCTCAATCTAGAAGTTTCACATTCATTCCTAAAAACTTTCTCAGCTCTGTACCTTTTTAATTTCTGTGCACCCTGGAAGTATTTTACATTAACTACATAGCTGCAAAGCAGTAAAGACATTTAAGATGGGATGACAGTTAATTTGCAATGCAAAGAAGAACTGATTTTCTGCAAGTTATCTATTCAGTATTGTGAAGATATTTCTGTAAACTGATAAAATCATAGGAATTATTGAATTAAGGGATTAAAGGTTTTAAAACTAAGTTGTATTTTGTTTTATAGCAGCATAGACCATTTGCTAGTGCAGACTGGCTAACAGATAACTGGTAACTTGGCTCTTCCACTCAGTTCTGTAGGTCTCTGTAGCCATTATCAGCTGTTGCTACAGAACTGAACTACTGTTGCAACCTGCAGTCTGGTCATAAATCCAGCTTTACTGGGGCTGTACTGACAGCCTGCATATGCTCTAAACCAAGGGAAACAATCTGCAAGAACAACTCCCCCCAAGAAACAAGGCAACACCAATTCTACATGAAACTTTCTTAATCTGAGTAATAATATATAAGTAATCATAGATTAAAGTATTAAAATTACTCACTCTTAATGCATTAAAATGCCTCACTCTTAATGCAAGTTTTGAGGCAGAGTTGGTGAAAGAATCCTTTTTCCGGTTTCATAAATACTCTCAAGAAGAAAAAAAAAAGGTCTATTTTAAAATGCCCAAGAATATACTGCTCTTTTTAATTTTCATCTTTTCTTTTAGCTGCTCCAGGCTTATCCTGTCCGAATTTTAAAAGCTCCAAGGATGGAGTACAGCCTCTCCAGGACTCTCTATTCCACTTTTAGACTTACCTAACGTGGGAAAAAAAAAGGTTTCTTGCTTGTTTTTATATTCGCTTTGCATAAAAGATTTTGCAGTTGATTTTCTTTTTCAAAGTTTCACATGAAGCTGACAAAGCAGCCCCAGTGAAAGCTTGGTTTATGGTTGAGCTGCACAGGCTGGGACAGTTGTTCAGTTCTGTACCGACAGCTGGTAACAGTGTAATACTAGCTACAGAGGCCTGCCAGAAGCAACGCCATTTTTAAGAATTATGAATAACGTGAAGTGGATCGAGTGTTGCAATTGCTACCTTTTAGCCTCATGCACAATAATTTCCCAATGTAGATAAACATTTGACTCTGCCACCGTTCTGAACGCATGCTTTGGTTCCCTTGGAAACTTGGGAGTCAACAGTAGATTAAATATGAAGGATAACCAATATGCATCACTGTGTGTTGTAACACAAAATATGACAAAGTTATTGGAATTCATCTTTAATTAAGAATATCCTTAACCAAGGTCTTCCTTTTCACTGACCTCTCAACAGTTTTCACATCTTTACTCACAATATTGAGCCTGAACTAATAAACAGATTAGTGGTGGGACTTGCGAAATACTGTTACCACACTCTGCTGAGAAATTTGACATGTGATTGCAATCATTTAGAAGTGGTAAAAATTTCCCTCTTTACAACATCTCCACAACTGGCACATAATTGTGCTAAACATAATAAAACCATCTGTGCTACAATTACATCTGCTTTGTTCACAGTGCTTATTCTTCACAATCTGTAATCCAATAGTACCTGACAATGGCACCCAAAACCAAGAATAGTTCTTACTATTGGATAACCTTTCAATACATTTTGAGCCTTTTAGGTTTCTACATTTTCATATTTTACTTGTTCCGTGACTTCAGAAGATTCACTGAATATATTATGCCCTTCCTTAAAGTGGATTAGACTTTGAATTCCATGTTTTCTGCCTGCCATATTAAAAACCACTTTAACAGTTTCTGAGAAAAGGCTGGTCATTTTCAGGAAAAAAGCAACAAGATTTTTACCAAGTCACAGCTGTATCCATTCTCCCATCCTGTTTTAATAATTATTAACACGGTATGCTAAGAAACATAACAATGAATTGGTGAAAAATTTAGCTCAGACAGGCATTTTTTTAAAATTTGTTTTTTAGTGTGAATTTAAAGTATGTGTAAGCTTCTATGGATTATACAGGCTTGAAGGCTATTAAACCTGATAACAGAGTTTTAGATGAAGGCAAAAAAAAATAGATGTGACTTTATTATTTCAATGAGCATGCTGTGATATCGCATGAGAGTGCTCCTCACCTGCTGCAGTACATGTCTCTCTCTCAATGTCATTAATCTTCTGTGGAGCTCTACCAGTTCATCGAGATATGCCTAGAAACAAATCCCCCCCATAAACAACTTGTTAATTAAGTCACAGCTATGTATTTCACAAACTTCAGGTGTCTTCAAAACCAATACAAGTGGAGATGTTATTTTCAATCTTAGAATGTCAGAATACCCTGAGTTGGACAGGACTCACAAGGATCATCGAGTCCAACTCCTGGCCCTGCACAGAACCATCCCCAAGAGTCACACCATGTGCCTGAGAGTATCATCCAAATGCCTCTTGAACTCTGGCAGGCTTGGTGCTGTGACCACTTCCCTGGGGAGCCTGTTCCAGTGCCCAACAACCTTCTGGGTGAAGAACCTTTTCCTAACATCCAATCTAAACTTCTCCTGAAACAGCTTCAGGTCACATTCCCTCAGATCCTGTCACTGGTCACCAAAGAGATCAGTGCCTGCCCCTCCGCTTCCCCTTGTAAGGAAGCTGTAGATTGAGATGGGGTCTCCCCTCAGCCTGTTCTCCAGGCTGAATAAGTCAAGTGACCTCAGCCACTCCTCATTTGGTTTCCCCTCAAAGCCCTTCACCATCTTCACTGCCCTCCTTTGGACGCTTTCTAATAGCTTTAGATCCTTCTTGTATTGTGGCACCCAAAACTGCAAAAAGGACCTGAAGTAAGACCAAGCTCTTCTTTGAGCTGTATTTTCTTATTTAGAAGTCTGGTTTTCTCTAGCTTAATGCAACCCAAGTACAAGTTCTTGTGGTTTTTTGATAAAAAACCTGACAAAAATCAGATGGTCATTTACTGTAGAAGATAATATATATATATATATATCTGTACTGCGCCAAAAGGCATCAAAAGACTGCGGATGCCAAAACAGTATCTTTGAAATATCTCCCACCTTGTGATGTAAGAACAAAACCCAAATCACAATGAAATCCCTCGTTCTCTCTAAAGCTATGTAATTATTTCTTTTGTGTCAACAGGAAGATATAAGGGGAGAGGGATTAAGCAAGATTAATTAAATGGTAAATTCCACTGCTTCCCTAATGGAATGTCAAACACATCCCACCTCTCCACCCAATTATCAACTTTCTCCTTCAGCCTGAGCCATCAAAAAACTTTTTTTTGCTTTTAAGGAGAAAGAGATATGGCATTCAACTTAAAAATTCTAAAAGCATATGGATCAGAGCACTAAAAATCTAGTTGCAGATAATGCAACTTTCATCTCTTTCGTTGTGTTATCGCTAAGTCTTCACTAATACCAGTAAAATACAAACCTTCAGAGGAACTTGTCCACAGTGGGCAATTGTGTTATGTTCACTCATATAAAGACTTAGAGCTCTTGCCCACAGCCAGCTGACATGTTTTTAAACAAAACTGTCTTGCTCAGTGTTAAATTAACAGTTGCTTCATATCATTCTAGTTAACATGCTAAAACTGTTTTTGCCACTTCCTAATGCACAGCCTTCAGAAAGGATTCTGGAAAATACATAGTTGGTTTTTTGTTTTTTCGTAGTTGATTGATATATTGGCTAGGAATATGTCTGTGAATTCTCATCTACAAAAATTATCACTTCCTCTGTGAAGCACAGTACAAACTTATCGGGGAGAGTAGATAAAATAAATAATAGATAGTAGATTCCCAACTGGTGACATCTGCCAAACCACATGTACTGAAAAGAAGGAAAAAAAATTCAAAATATGACAGAAGAAGAAAGAATTGCAGAAAAAAAATGGAGGGAAAGATCTGCACCTAAAAGAACACAAAGTCAAGATGTACTTAGGTTTTCATTCTCTAACAAAGATTGGTGTCTAGTAAATGCATTAGTATCATATTCTGAAGCAGTTTATTGTTATCTCTTATTTACCTTATCACAATCCCCATTCTTTATTTGTTTGTCAGGTTTGTTTTGCTTTATTGGACTTTTCACTTCTAAAATCTGGAAAAGAATGAAAATCCCGTAAAAATTAAATGCATTATTGGATACAATTACAAATGGAAAATTCTGCTATTGGTTAATAATACAAACTCAAAACTGAGTTCTTCATTCTTTAATCCATATAAACTACTCATATTTTTCAGAATAAAAAGTAACTTACAGCAGAAAACGATGAGCTGTTGGAACAAAGTGGCAGTGATATTGTTAATCCTTAAAAGAATTAATTTCATTAAGCCTTCATTAAGGAAGGCTTCCATTAATTTCACTTAAAGCCTTCCTAACACTTTTTTTTTTATCCTTTTCATGCTGGTAGGATAAGAGTATTTTGCAGATACAAAATGATGCTGAGAGTCTTCCCAGTGCTTTCGAAATATCACACGAGCAGTGTACTTTTCCTGTTTTTTTCTCCAATGCTATCTCTTTTCTTTCACAATAGAGTTTGAAACAATCTTTGAAATGATCACGAGTTGTAACTGAAAAAGAAAGTGATTGAGAGCAATTTCTTTTGCACTTACATAGTACCCTTCCTTCAATGCCATTCAAACCCATTTACTATCACACATACAAATCTAGAATATTTCATTTGCTAGTGAACCACAGTCAAGAAGAGTATATCAATAAGCAGCAAGACACCATGCTTAATAGGACTAAAGGGAGGAATATTTTGGGGGAAAAGAACTGTTGATTGTTCTTCCATTTTTTCCACACAGAACACATTTTTTGAAGTTAAAAATAAAAAAACACCATGTCATTCCTCACCTGGAATATAACTAGTTCTTCTGAAGAACATCAAAGAAAACTAAATAATCACAGATGATGGGAGATTATGTTTCACATTTCATTGTGAGACTAACATCACTAGCATGATTAACTCGAAATCCACACTAAACAGTCATAACACAGAATAAAACGCAGAATTAAAACAAGGAAATAAGCCTGTAAAAAACAAGTCTTCTACAAGCCTGTAAAAAACAAGCCTCATTGACAATTTTCCCAAGTCTCTCTCTCATTTCTACTTCCCTTGGTAAAAATGACTAAATTACATATATGCTTCCCGGGTGACCAGCATCATAAGAATTACAGCAGGCAGGCAGCTATTTCCCCATAGAGAGAGTGTGACTGCAGATCTGAGTTAATCTTACATAAAGAGTTATTTAGCCAAGAGTGATCAGAAATCAAAACTTACATTTTTAAAGAAAAATCCCAGTTCTTCTATTCAACACCCCCCTGGGGTTACTGCTGTTTAGGCCAGTGAATGAAAAGTCTTGTTTTTAAAAAAAAAACGCAGACCTCTAGTCATGAATCCAGTAACTGTTAGATGCTTTTATTGTTTTTAGAGGAAGAAAATTCTTGGTTTCAAATAGAACCCTAGCAAGAACATAGTATATTTGAAAAAGTTGCTTCCTTACAGTGCTCTAGATGTGTAGTTTGAAATCTAATATCTTAAGCACTCTTGTTTAGATGAGATACAGTACTAATCACATCTGAGGAAGCTTATACAAATACTAATTCTATCTTAGCTCTTTGGTTCTATGAATGAACTTAGTCAACAAAAGTTGACTAAGCATCATAATTTCATCAGTAAAACCCATCATCCTGGTAAGTAGCATTACACTATCAAGCAGAGGGTTAAAATGTGGCTAAAATGGTCCATACAACTTGAATTCTCACAATGACTCCCTAAATTTCTGATTTTCATCTTATTTACAAAATTCAGCCTAAGTATAGAAATGGAAGAAGGTATGTAACATTCAGTTTTGGCTGGCACACAGCTGTTGTTCAGTGTGTCTAAATGCGCAGGTAGACCTTCTCTTATATCACCAAAAGGCAAAGGAACATGAAAGATATAACTGAGTGGGCTGCCAATATTGAGACTTATAATCACTTAACAATTACATTGCCTCTGTAGAAGTTAGTCTTCATTAAACAACAAGTCACAGATAAGTGTTTTATTTTTCTTGTGTTTATGAGCCCAGTACATGAAATATTCTTCATCCTTATAGTTAGCTTTTTATTTTACCCCAAAAGACTCTCTCAAAAACTTGTAACTTCTGTACAGATAACTTAGAAAAGTCTACAATGTTTCTGGTAGATAATAATATTATTTTCTGGACAATGGAATCACCTTCTTTCTTTGCACAAAGTACTTCCTAGCTTTTTTTTCTTTTTTTCTACAGTGTATTTAAACTTAAATAACACGAATAATAATATTTGGGTTTGCTCTATAGCTTGTATTGGAAATCTTAATAGAAAAACAAGGACAAGTAAATAATATCTGCCAGATAATTAAAGCAGTTAATCAAAGAAATATAGAAAAGTCTCATCCATGAAACTCACCATCTAAATCACAAACTTTTGCTAATACAGGTAGACACTATTCTAACTATATCAAAACTGTAAGCAGCCATTTATTGCCAGTAAGTGTCATAACTGCTTTGTGTACGATATAACTGACACTGGGAATGTATTATCGCTTGTAACTTGTATTTTATTTTATAAAAAATGTAAGCTTTTATGTTTAATTTTTATATTTAGAGAGCCTTACTTTATGGTGGCTGAGGGCGAGGCAGCATCCCAGAAGCATTTTGTAACTCTAGGTAATTTGATTCTTTTCTTTGAAAAACAGAACTACCTTATGTTCCTACCTCAAAATAACTGTTAGCTCTTACAAATCTGGAACAAGTACTCTAGTGTGAAGTAAAAACTATTGTGTCTGCTAATGGAGTAAAAAATATTGTATCTCCTAGATAAGCACTGGTGGGGGAGAGGGCATGAGACGAACGAATAAACTCCTGAGTTTGATGTGAACTGTGTCTACTGCTAATACAAACCCCAACTGTATTTTTGAATTCTGACTTTACCTGGCTGTTGTTGGTTTTCAGTAAAGGTGGTGCTGGTTCATGACGTAGCGGTGAGGAAGCTGAACTGCTATCACTGTCACTGCCATCACTCAGACTAACCCTATGAAAAAGAAGAGCCAAAGTATTACACCTGCAGACAAAGGGCTGTCAATAGGGTGAACCAAGCTTGTATTTTGAGGTATGGACTTAAAATGACCAATCTCTTGCTAAGCAAGCCATCAAGGTCACATGGAAGACAGGCATCTGAGCAGGGCTGCACTCTGGAAAAAGCTCGGTGTAGCACAAAGAAGGAGGCTGCCTGCCTGCACTTGTTGAGATGAAGTGTCCAGTTAACACAGCAGCCAATGTTACAAAAATGGATGAACAGCTACAGCATTATACTGCTGCTCCCAACAGAGTGAGTCCCTATCTCAGTTCACAGCCATGTGGAGGAAGGAAAGTGGTTTTTAGAGATACCCTTCTGCTCCTCTAAAAGTTTTATGAACAGCTGTGCTTCCCACTTGAACAAGTGTTTTACTGAGAAGTTCCTTGTTTATTGTCATAAGTAACACATTTTTTCCTGGCTAAAATTTAAAATCTTAGCATCTCAGGAGAGGCCACATGAAAAAGCCCAGCTCCTCATCAGTTTCACCCTTCATTTACTTAGGAACAATAGACAATACTTTTTCGATGAGGGAGAAGGAGTTATTTGGGATAAAAAGAAGTTAGAGAAACATAAGCCTTAAGATTTCATTTAAAAACTGAAACAAAATCTCCACACATGGAGACAAGTTGAGCTTGAAACAATCCTTTACACAATCACTGACACAACAAGTTCTCAAACTGCTAGTCATCTTGGTCTTTTGCTCCTTGATTCCATGTGCTACCGTACACCAGGGAAGCAGCTGACATTTATTAACGCTTTCCTATTACCTTCCCATTTAAACAGTAGCTGACACTGGCACTCAGGTGCTATGCACTAACAGCAAAACCCTCTGAATCAGATAAAGAACCTAATATGAAAAGTGTTTAAGAGACCGTTTCAGGCTTTCCATAACCTTCAACACCATTTGGATGGAGCTTCAAGCTACCCGAAGAACAGATAACTTCTGGAAAGCCTTCTGAAGGTTGCAGCAAGGATGCAAAAGCTTTTTTAAAAAAATTAATTTCTGTGACAGATGCTTGTTTTACCTTCTGATGCACTTTTATTCATTATCTACTGCATGCAGCATAGAAATTACTTGAAATTCAAATTTCATTGATTCTGATTCAATTTAACAACCTAATCTAAAACTAGTAAGCAGAGAGGTCTTGAAAATGAGACTTTGTACAGAATAGTTTATCCAAAAACTGAAGGACTTAATTTTCTCTAATTTATGCCAGAAAGTAATGATGACTTCTCCCTTCAAGTCACAATCACATGAAATCCAGTAAAGTCAAATAAGGATCATTGTAACCATATTGAGTAATACAGAAAGAGTTTGTATCGGGAATGGCTAATTTTGTTAGCTTTTAGAAGCTGCTGCTTTAAAAAAAGTCTAAATTTTCTACACGTTTGCTACTTAGCAGTCTTTGAGAACAGTAGACCTCACTTCATTACTAACAAGCGCTACATGTCTTGGCCACCAGGCTACTTGCAAACACAAGACACTCACCTGCGACTCTTGCTTCCTCCTTGTGTATTTACAGGTTGTTCCAACTCAGAATCATTGTCCTTCTCATCTGCTTCATCTGATTCATCTTCATTATCATCTGAATGCAGATCTTTCATTATAGACCTCAACAGACCTGAAACAACAGAGACAATAAAATACACTATGAAGTTCATTTTGCAGTGTTTTGGGCAATTCACCCAGTTTTGAAAACTACCCTCCCCACACAGTGTTGAGAGGGGAGAGTCTTAAACATTAAGCATATGAAGTGATGCACTGGGGGCTTATGCTGCAGGGAGTTAGCCATGAATCATTTACTCACATGAGCAACTCAGTCAGCTTCAACAGACTTACTCATGACAGTGGAGGGACTCATATGTTCAAGTGTTTGAACAATTTGCTCCCTGGACTGTAGCTAAAGTAAGTAAAATACTGTCATGACAGGAGAAATTGACTTTTACTGTATTATTGCTAGAAGTATGCTACTTTTCCATTGCTGGGGTTTAGTATTTTTTGTTTTGTCTATTATATATGTGAGTAAAGATCTACAGGGGTATATTGATCAGCAGTGGTACATTTGTTAGATTAATTCATGTGTTGAGAAGTTGGATCTAACAAATCATTTTGACTAACTCATACTGGCCAAGGTAGTCTTTGTCTTCTTTATATATTTAGCTTTAACTGTTCCTGTTATTTCAGGATTAATTTCAAGTTGAGTAAGCACTTTGCCTATGTTGATATGTACTAAGTACATTAATCCCACTCGACATCATGTTATCACTTTTCCTGAATTAACAAGAGGTACAAAGCTTGAGTTGCTCACAAAACTGCATTAAACTCAGTTTGGGTTTTGATTTTTACTCTGTTTTGCTGTAAGAGACAGTTACAGAAAGAGGAATATGTTTAATAGATCTGTGAAATGTAAAACTACAGCTGCTTGAAATAAGAATAGAAAAAAGCATATTAGAAGAGGGAAGGAAGCAAGACTGGTGCCACATTTAACTCTAAAGTACTGCTCATCTGAGACACGAAGCAGCAAGTAAAAGCACCAGTGATGGCTATAGGAACAGCAATTACTATTACAGTTGTGTAATTCCTTCAGCCTAAGAAACACAAAGTATTAACATGAACAAGACAAGCCTCCAAGATGAAGCTCTCAACTTCCTATTTGCTTATGGGGAAACTGAGTCAAGAAGTGTCCTCCCTGGTCACTGTCAGCAGAGAAGGCAGATTTGTCAGTCAGTGCCATACTCATGACAGGGACTCATGGAAGGAACAGCTTTATGGACTATTCCAGACCTAGCAAGGTTCAGGTGATAGGCATTTTGACTAGTTTTGTACAAGTGATTTCAAAGCCAATGTTGAGAATGTTTTAGCACTAAGGTTGCACTAGAACTTTTGTAAATTGGCACAGTTTGGGCAGAAAACAGTTTCTCTGTTTTCACACCCTAGGGAAGTAAACCTGATGGTGTTGATAAGCAAACTCCTGGTTAACCAGACATTTGACTAGGTGACAATGGAAGGAGAGCTATATAGAAGTGCTTCTTGTCCATGCACCCACTGCTGATCTGTAGAAGTATAAATTTTTAGGTATTTTCTTTCTAGCATTGGTTGCAATGTCACTGTTAACTTTCTGTCCTTGTGAACAGTTACTTTAAAATTCCATAGCAACCTTTTTAAGGGTCTGAAAAGTTGTTACTTCCTAAAGGGTCAGAATAGTTAAGGAGAAACTGAAAGTTAATTGCTGCCCATTAGTTGCCCTTGGTAAGGAAAAAGAAATATTAGAATAAGCCCCAATGACAGAAGAACTTGGAAGAACCTTAGGTTAGCCCACTGCTTATGCAAAAAGAGGTGAAAAAAGTTCATGCTGTGGTTTTTTGACACTTGAGCGAGTGCCGGAGTCTGAATCAACAGAAAAAGAGAAACAGCCCTAACAAGTAACTTCTAGTTATGGGGAAAAGTATGGCTTTTTACCAGAGCACAACATATGGTGTCAACATGCCAGGGTACACCCAGTATGTCATTCCTTTGATATACAAATGCATGGCCTGGGCAATGAACATGTTTAGTTAACTGGAGTTTCTGGAACTCCCAGAAAGAAGCAGTAATCACTGTTTACTGTGGCATGATAGAAAAGATGTATATACCCCTTGCTCTTCAGAGCTGTTCACATCAGAGGACAAATCTCCCCTCTGTTCCAGAGAAGGTATAAAGAACTGAAAGACAACCTGCAATACCTCTTATATATGAACAGAAGAGATGGATGGGACCAGTCTGCTTAGAAGAAAAAACTAAGTCAAAAGGTTTTTGCCCAACATAAGAAAACAGACACAGAAATGGGTATGCAAATTTTTTGTCTTGTAATGGACAGTTCACATCACTAAGGCAGTTTTCATGAGAATGAAAATGGGGTTTCAGAAGTGTATCTCTTTATCCCTAGATAAAAATCAACTGCCTGAAGCCAGTCAACCACAGCTCACTTTAGCTCTTGCTTTCTTTCACGCAGAGTAACACTGCCAGAAAACATTAGATGTTTTTTTGCTAGAAAACATTAGAAAATCAGTACCAGTGACCTACAGAAAGGCAATAGGACAGAGATGCATCATGCATAGATATATTTAAAAACAGTCTGCCTGAAGCACTAATGTATTGTCATAATCTTAAATCAAGTCTACCACTGAGGAATATAAATGGATAAAACAGAAGACAATTTTGTTCAGTCAAAGGCTGCTTTTTTAATGCTCCTTATCCAAACAACAAAACAAAAGCTCATTAAGAATGTATCAGTTGTACAATCTTATAAACCCAGGGAAAGAAGCCAAGCAGGAACTAAGTAGTTTAATAGATCATGTAGAATGAATCTCAACTTATTTACAGAAAACATGCCTTGGCCAGGTCTCCAGGAAGAAAAATGCATTCTTTACTGAGTTCCAAGTAAACTGAAATTATTAGCCAAAAAATGAAAACGCAAACTTAAAGTCTAACCCTCATCCTTCCCTGCCACATATCTAAAGTAAATACTCTATGCTCTTACTTTCCAATGCTATGGGAAGACCACGGCCCTTCAAAGGGGTTGATGTACACAAATTAATGGATTTCCATGGGCTTCCCGTGGCAAGCCACACACTTCCAGAGCTTCAGATAAAGCCAGGTGCCATGATAACGAACTCTGCAGAAGGACAACTCAGAAACAGAAGCTCTTTTGAGTTTACCATCTGTTAAGTGACTGTCATGTATTTAATCCTTAAAAACAAACAATCCTTACGTCCTTTTCTCAGATACCAGTTTCTCCTCTTTTATTTTGCCCTTCGCTACATCTGAAAACAACATGAGAAAAAGATTTAAATCAAAACTGTAGCCAGTTCAGGCAATGAAAGGCAGAAGAAAAGCGGTAATGAGATGCCACCAGTTCTGTTTTTATTAGCCCCTTCATTTCACACATTCCTTTCAATTCTTTTTCCTCTATTGGTACCTTGTTGTCTGCTGTTTTGAGATGGTGTAAAACTGGAACTGGAACTGGAGCTGGAACTGGTAGGACTCGGCTGTTCAGACTTCAAAGGGAAAGAAAAAAGAGAAAATAAATAACATTTTTAGAAACATTTTTTTGCCTAAAACTCTTACTGTTAGTTACTGCCTAAAGCATTTGATCAAGAAAAAAGAACTGTGGAACAGAATAATGCTTAAAATATCTTTATTTCAGGTGTCAGTGAGGTAAACATTGTGAGAATTGCTCTTGCACTCACCATACATACACACTAATATATCATGTTTAGTTCTTTACTAAAGCCTAACAAGAAGTTCTCATTGCCTTGTTTGAAATGCTATAAACCACAAGATTCTAAATGAGTTTATAATAGACCTAAGGCATCTCTGTCCTTGTCATACTGTAGATGCAACATTGTCCAAATTACCAGTGATTGGGTAGAACCAAAAAACAGAAGACCTGAGCAGACCACACTAAATGCCAGAAAATCTCAGACAGTTTTCTTTTCTCTTCCTTAGAAAATAAGTCTTAAGATACGGATTCGAAATAAGCTTTTCTGCTGTTATCAGATTTCTGCTAATCCTAACACTTTCCATATGTATTAAAACCCTATAGATTACAGATTGTAACAGTGATTGAACCAGAAGGATTGCCTTGTTAAAAGAGAAATTATCTAGAATTTACCAGTTGCAAAAAACTAAATTTTTAAAAGAGTTATTGAAATAAGTATATATCATTTAACAAACAGTACTATACATTCTTTTTCAACTGCTGTTTAAAATGTGTACCTTTCTCTCTAAAATTGATGAGAAAGACCTATTGCTTCATCTAAAAATTCTGTATAATTTTTCTCACAGAGGTTATGGTTTATGAGGATAGTATTGAAGAGTCTTGCTTCCTGCTGCCAGGTTGCATGTCTCCATATTCCTTTTTGCTGTTTCTTTGACTCAGCAGCTTGAAGTGTGTGGGTGTTGGTACATACTTGCACACTATTGCAAAATACAACTCTGGTATGTTGGTAGAGGGGATGCTAACAGAGTACATAAAAAAAGAAAAAAGTGGCCATACAGAAAGAATAGTGAAAATCAGATTAGGAAGTAATTGTCTAAACATATACTATTGAAACCTGCTTACACTTTAAATTTCATACAACTGTGATGTGTTGTCCAGGCTAACAAACATTTTGTGACTCTCCTTGCCAGTACAATATCCCTCATGATTAAGACAGAACTAAATTTTTCTCAAAAATGACAGCAATAATATCCAGTCTGTAAAACTCAGTTTTCACACAAACAGGCTATCTAAGTTTAACAGTTGCTTTTTCTCCATAAATCAATCTATTGTTGCCCTTCATAATAGAGCAGGCAGATTTACCACCATTTGTTGCCTTTTCTCACCATGAGAGATGTCTATTTGGGCAATAGAATCCTTGAGAAAAACACCATTAACATCTGCTCTCCTTAAATCAACATCAGCTCCAGTTCTCACAGACACAGAGTCAAAATACAAACTTTACCTGACTGTGTGGGTATATACTACTTGAACACAAGTGAGTTAACACTGTGCAAGGAAACCCAACCCAACCAACATGACTCATTTGTCAGTACCCAGAGATTCTTACGTTGTCCACAGCATCAGACTTTTTTGAAAAACACTGCAGCATCACTCGACGCTGCTACAAAACCCAACTAATTTTGAAAGAAACCTTTTTTTCCTTCCTGAATTTCTGTAAAACCATACAAAATTTTTAGCAGTAATTATAATAATATGAAACAGACTGCAGTGATGAAGAACAGGAGTCAATGCAAACTTAAAAGACATCAGCGAACTAAGTTCAGTCTTCCAGATTCAGGCTATTCTTAAAACATCTGTCAATTTCTGCTTTTTGCAGCAAAATTACTAGCTGAGAACTGGTTTCTGTACATGTCCATTAACTGCATTTTTCCTTTATTAATTTCAACATGAACTTTAATAACTGTAAAATCCATCCCCTTAAAAAATAACAAATACTAAAAGACTATCATCTTTGGCTTAAAATACTTTCAAATGCTAAAACTCTAGGAAGCAAAAATCCCATGGGCACAGAGACTATGTCACTATTAAAACTTCACTACTTTTTTTTGAACTAGTTTACTTGAATTGAAAAAGGGGAAAAGACCTGGTCTCATTCACATGAAAATACCAATGAAATTGCTCTGCATTAGAATTTTCTCTCAATATTAACTAACTGAGTCAACATCACGGGAAGGAATGGATATAAATACATATAAAATTGTAGAATATTTGAGAATTCAAACCACAGAAAGTCCCAATGAAACACATATGATCATCCATACACTTTTAAAAAGGTTCCTAATGACTTTTTAAACAATTTACATTATTCCCTTAAAAAGCTCTGTCTGAAAATTTATTCCAAGAAATACAGATCAGCATAAATATGAAAATTGTTAAGCATCAGAAATGAAACCTACATTTTTTGACTTAGAAATCAGGGTGAGAGTGCAACCAGAGGAAATAGTTGCTTTCAACATAAGAATGAATGTTATTTGTAGGAAAAACTTATAGAAAGAACTACAAATATGCCTTCCATATATGAATATGGATTAGTGCCGACAGCACTAGTTAAGAAAGGCTGTCTTTTTTCACTTAGGCAATGTTTTTTGACAGTTTTACAGGCTCTTATCCCAAGGACTTAGGTATTTATGGCCTTACTCACAGGTTCCTAATCACCGAACAGATTTATTTTTTTTTTATGGGTTGAAATTAGCTAAACGGTGTCCTTCGACAAGAAAAGCTTTAAGATAGTGCCAGCAAAAAGCTTCTCTCATATGGCCTTTTTCTGTTTTACCAGTTTTCTCTTCCTACAGGCAGCCTAATGAGAATTTGGGCCCAAACTGGTCATTAGTGCAATGACCCGATATGATTTATTGCATTCTTAGACAGTCTATTTCATTTTAGTGTTCTCACACCGATGCACAGGAGACAGTGGCTTCTTTATTAGGCCTGATTGAGGGATTCTGTGCTTTGAAACAGTTCAGCAAGAAAAGGAACTTTTCTTTGGCTCAAGTTTTCCCTGAAAAGGTACCGTTTTCACCAGCTCTAAATCACTTGGCTTCTGTAATTTCCAAAGTCTTGTCCGTTTTTACAAGTAGTGCAACAACTCTCTCTTGAGCTGCAAACAAGTTTCAGGCAAACTCATCTGTTTATGATACAGGATATAACAGAGCTGTTTCTGTATTATGTCATGGTTGCCCCGATTTGTACAACTTCTTGGGGCTGTCCTGTGCAGGGCCAGGAGCTGGACTTCGATGATCCTTGCGGATCCAGCTCTGGATGTTCTATGATTCTATGACTCTAAAAATAATGCCCATCATTTAAAGCTCCTTAATAATTCTTACATTAAGAAATAGAAGACATCTGTATGTGGGTGACAATGGTTTTTCTTGCCTTCCCCTGAACTGTTCTTAAGGGAACCTTACATATTGCTTCTTGAAATAAACTTTTAAGTGACATAGCAATATCTCATTTCATATCAGCCTGTTTACTTATTTCCTATTTTTAATGCAGAATAGTCTAAAGATTTATGTTTCCATTGCTATAGAATCGCAGAATTAGCCAGGTTGGAAAGGACCTCTGAGATCATCAAGTCCAACCCTCGATCCAACACCGCCATGGTTACTAGACCATGGCACTAAGTGCCACATCCAGTCTCATCTTAAAAACCTCCAGGGACGGAGAATCCACCACTTCCCTGAGCAGCCCATTCCAAGGCCTGATTACCCTTTCTATAAAGAATTTCTTCCTAACATGAAAAGTCTATATACTTGAAACTGCTTATAGCTGAGCACTACTTCCACTTCCACTTTGTCCAAAGTTAGAATTTCAGGGAGGAGGAACATGTTCCCCAAGACAAGCCTTCTTCTCTAACAGGACTCCTACACTTACAACTTTTACTGACATTTAAGTGCCTAGTCACTGACCACTGCCTCAGCTTTTAGTAATCAACCCATCTGCTGCTCACACAAGAGGTTCCCTCTGAACATCAGGAAACACTTTTTCATTGTGAGGATGACCAAGCATGGGCACAGGCTGCCCAGGGCAGTTTTGGCATCTCCCTCCTTAAGAGACATTAAAAAAACATCTAGACAGAGGCCTGGGCAACCCTTTAAGTGGCTCTGCTTGAACAGGGCAGCTAGACTAGATGACCATAAGAGGTCCCTTCCAACCTCAACCAGTCTGTGATTCTTTAAATTTGACACACATTCTTCATTTAACAAATAGTACCCAGAATAGACTCTAAATTAAACTTTGCAACAGTTTTATTTGAACAACTGCACTGGATGAAGCAAGATTTCCATTTCCTTAGAGACTGTCCTACTGAAACATGTACCTATTTTTGAAAGAAAATAATTTTCCTTCTATATTTATGTACACAATTTTTCTTAGCTTTATAAATCAAAAATAGATTTGAGACAATGCTAACAAGAACTCAGAAATACTCAAGACTTAGAGAAGACTCATGTACAGAAGACTGAACTAACACGTGAATAAAAAAGTTCTTTTGCAGTACACTGCACAATACTTTTTCCTTCATTCATCATGGCTGGGCTTCGCGAACGAAGATTTGGGAAGGGCTCTACCCACGTTTGTTACAAGCGCGTTGGTGGCTAAAAAGGCCGATGCGAGACAGACAAGTCCGGCTGCAAAATGCACAGCAGAAAGTCTCCTTAGGTGGTATCGACAAGACACGATTCTTTCTGAGTTGTCTTTTCTCCTCAAGAGTGATCCTGTGTGTGTTCTCAAAGGAGACAGCAGCGTTATAGATACTGTGTCTCCAGGCCTCCCGATTGGAGGCCAGGGTAGACCAGTTAAGATGATCAATGTGGCCGAGGTTGAGGTGTTGTTTCAGGGAGTCTTTGTATCTTTTCCTGACACTGTACAATACAGTTGAAAGACAAAGCACTAGTGAAGGTTGTTAACCTGCAGGGATATTTTTGTTGAAGATACCTTACTGGTAAGAGTGGAAGACACATAGTAAAGTAGGCAAAAAAATACAGGAGAGAAGAT